AAGCCAAGAATGTGTAACATACATTTAGGCTGAAATTTTCATGTCCTAATGCTAACAATTTTTCTACTGCTCTGCTTAAATATTATCACTTCTACTTTAAAAAGAACAACTCAAGAGCCCATTATAAGTCAAATAATCAACAAAGTCTTCTAAAAGATAAAGACATGTATTGAACTCACGAACACACTTCCAGAAATAAATATCACTACATTCAAATACTAGTAGACTGGTCTTCTCTTCCAGTGTTACATTTGAATAATACCTGAAGTTTTCTTTAGCATATGCTCCACATCACAGGAAGGATGGGGTTGGAAGTGACTTGTGAGGCCATCTGGTTCAGTGTCTCTCTACTCAAGCAGAGCAGGGTGCCCAGGCCCACATCCAGGAGGCTTTTTAAGATCTCCAAAGAGGAGATTGCAATCTCCCTGGACAATCTCTTCCAGTGGCCCATCACCTTCACAGCATAGAAGTGTGCATCCCAATATTTAGAGAGAATGTCCTGTGCTCCAGCTTTTGCCCATGGCCTCTTGACTTAGTGCTGGGCACCACTAAGAGGAGGCCGGCTCCCTCTTCCTTGCACCCTCTCCTCACATATTTGTACACACTGATGGGATTCACACACACTGAACTTTCTCCTTTCCAGGCTGTACAATCACAGCTCTCAAAACCTTCCCTCATATGAGAGGCACTTCTTTCCCTTCATCAACTTTATGGCCCTCCACTGGACTCTGTCCAGGAGATCCATGTCTCTCTGGTACTGAGGAGCCCAAATCTGGAGCATTCCAGGTAAGGCCTCACCAGTGTTGAATAAAAGGGAAGGATCACCTCCCTCAACCTGATGAAGACACTCCCCCTCCTGCAGTCCAAACATTAATCTTTTCTACCACAGAAACACATTGCTGACATGGTTCAACCTGGCATCCCACAGGACCTTCAAATTCCTTTCTGCAAAGCTGCTTCTCAGCCAGCCCAGTCCTTGTATGGCACTTGGGATTATTTCTCCCAGGAACTTTGCATTTCCCTTCATTGAACTTCACATGCTTCATACCAGCCCATTTCTCCAGCCTGTCCAGGTCCCTTTCAGTGACAGCACAACACTTTGGTGTATCAGCCACCTGCTCAGGGTATGCTGTGCCCCATCATCCAGGTCATTAAAGAGAATGCTCAACAGGACTGAAGGCCAGCCCGGATCTGGGTACAGCACTAGTTACAGGCCTCTAAATGGACTTTGTGCCTCTGATCACAATCCCCTTAGTGCAGCCTTCAGCCAGTTTCCAACCCACCACATCATCTGCTCACCCAGACAGCATTTCGTCAGCTTCTCTAACAGGATCTAAGAGGAAGACAGTGTCAAAAGCCTATGTCAAGATAAGCAGGTAACAAAGATGCTTCTATAAGATTCCGTCCTATAAGAAGACAGCTAATTTCCGCAGCTTCCTGTTAAAAAAAAAAAAATTGTACAACAGCACTGCTTTACATTCATTCACCCCATTTGAAACATACCTGTTTTCAAACGTTTTAAGTATTAATTTGCTGTAAGATTGTGAATAAGAATCACAAGATTGTGTATATTCTCTTTCAACAGAATTTTGGAGCCCAAGAAAGTTCTGTTCTAGAAGATAAAAGGTTTCCAGTGGAGGAGAAGCATACTCGCATTAGAGAATTTCTGAAGCATGAACGACAGAAAAATCTTAACTCAGTTTTTGAAACCAACACAAATACTCTTTATTTGTGGGATTCCATTTTACATCAACACCAGCAAAAGACCTAAAAATGAACTCATGTTAGGTGGCATAACAGCATTTCCACCAGTTCGTAAGTCACAGGAGTTTAGCACACCTTATGCGTGTAATACCCAAATAACTACAACACAAAGCATTCACAGTTACAGGTTAACTGCTGCTCCAACAGCAGCTTCATTAGGAACTACTTGGTGACAACACACATACACACACACACACGCACATATATAGAGAGGGGAAAAAAAATAAAACATATTTTGGTCTCAGTTACAGACAATGACCTATTTAGTTGGTGAATGGGTTCTATACACTTACATAGCAATTAGAATGGGTAAAAGATAAGGCTTATAAAGAGGTATTTTAGCACTTATAATTAAAAGCAGGGCACATGGTAACCTTTAAAGCTGTCTATATGAATTTCAAGAGCATTTAACAACTCGTTAGACTTGTGACTAAGGGCCAACAGAAATCCGTGAGAACTCTTACATAACCCATTTACATGATTCCATTTCTTTCCCTCCAAAAATGTAATTCAGGAATATTAACCAAGTAACAATGAGATAAAATCGATTTTGATTGTGCAAACATTATTTGTGTTAAAATAAAACGTGTTTAATTGCGATAAAATGGGAAATGCCTCCAGTCCTCTATATATGTCAGAAAAAGCCACATAAAGGTGACTGAAATATCTATTTTAGCTTAAAGACAGTCTTAAACAAGTTTTAACTGAACGCTCAAGTATATAAAGCATTTCAAGAAATTCCATCCTCCTCTACTTGCCTTTCCTGAAAACAAAACCTAACAACAACAAAAAATCAATAAGAAATAAAGTTAATATTTTAAGTTACAAAATTTTTGCTGTATAATTACATGTTCCTCAAATTAAATCTGTGTATATTTGTTACTAATACTTTCTACAGCTATTTGGACAGTAAAAAGCTCTAAAAAGTTTGTTATCTATCAGCTCCTGCCTAATACTTAGTCTCTGGTTTCCTTTAATTAACTGTCTCTTCATTTTACATCTTCCAAGTACCAGGCATGAACTGCACATCAATCATCAAGTTCCTGCTACAAATGCAGTTGTACTACATCAAAAGGATAAGCACAAGACCCATGAACACATCTGCCAGAAAGACCTCCCAGTATTCAAGAAATTAGGATATTCTGTATACTAATAAAGTGTGTGGGAGGGTGGGAAGAGGGAGGAGGGGAAGTACATCAACCGTATGATAATATAACGAACTGAAAAGGAAACACCAAACTCATACTAAAACCAAGGTAAATTGAGTGGCTTAGTTAAGCTTAAACAAACTTAGTTAAGTTTCTACAATTATTTAAAAATGAGAGAGAATTCCTTCAAAATAGACATTGCAATGTTAGGGTTCTCTGTGGGTTGAAAATACAGCAAAAACAGAAGGATGGATAACAAGGATAGTTATTAAGCCATACTTTTTTTTTTCAGTCTGTTCCTGTACATTTTAGTAAAGTTGCCAACAAGCTGTAATTGCATTTGTGGTTTACCTTACGCTCATTATAAATCAGTCACTGAACACAAATTCATCCTATTTGTGAATGGAAGATAAAATGGGCAATATCTAATCTGTTCCCAAACACATTCTTCCTTTCCATTGCTCCCAATTACTTTTATCCAAAAAGGAAAATGGAAAGTTTACTCATACAGAGTGAGCACTTCGAGGTTTCTTTTTCTCTCTTTTCTTTACTTTCAAACTTTGTATCCTGCAAAACATTACAGAAACCTTGAAAAAGAGCACCCAATTAAGCTGAACAGATTTCTGCTGACCCTGTTATGTGAAAATTACACCTGTAACAGTGATAGATTAAAAGCGTCTTTGGCTCTTGCTTCCATTACTGGAAGCCAAATTTTTGTGACATACAAAACTTTTAATGCAAACCTTGTATTTTAGCAGTATGCTAATTTGTGCTAAATTCTATTGTCAGTAACTAGCCTAACATTTAAGAAAATTACAATATTTCACTTAAGATTTTTAGCAAACACAATGTAGCCTGATGTTACAAGTTATATTGCTTCCAAAGTCATTCTTTAAGAACTAAATCAGCAGTTCCACTGATATTTACTTATAGTTATTCTATGGTAATATACACATTTACATCAGAAGTCTTATTAAAATGTGTGTGTAAGAGGCTTATTGTAAACATTAAATACCACACTTCACTGAATTAATTTCTTGTGCAAAACTGGCATCAAACATGGAATTAAGATTACTTGTATTAGTAAAGAAAAAGCAATGACTATGTATATTTTACCAATACTAACTTTAAAGGATGCTATGTATTTATTTAGTGTCATGGAAATCCAAAGGTGACTATTACATGGGAAATGGAAGTACTTTCTTCTTAGCTTCATGAAATTCTGGGTTTGTATATGTATACATATTGTATATTTATGTATATACAAATATACACAAACACGAACAATTTTTGTCTTTGGCAGCTTAGTCTGACAAACAAAAACCACCAACAAAACACAGATTTGAACACAATTAGACCACCCATACCAACAGGTACAACATCCCAGACCAGGGCAGTAAACCAATATGCTTCTGCAGAACTAATCCTGAAAGTAGCTGAGTTAGTGACAGTTGTTCCTGACTTCAGTGATATCAGAATGGGACAGCTGAAAATTTCACATTCAACCTAAAAAAACACCGTTCCCCTCACATACCCTGGATTGCGTTCTGAAAAATATCTAAACTGCCAATACCTCATTAAATATTTCTACAGAAAAGTAATGCTATTCTTTGTTTTGAAATGTCCACTGGCCCTTTTTTGTTACGTGTTCCATGAATTAATATGGAACATTTTATTAAATCCTTAGAAAATGAAGTTTAATAGCACCGGATCCTTCAAGAACATATCTATAGAAGTTAATGCTGACATTTTTTTTTTAATAAAGAAGAGTAAGGCAAAGACAAGGCAACAAAAATATAGAAATTAAGCATCATCCCACTCACTCAGTCATTTTTCCCAAAGTAATCACTAGATCTGTCTTACACAGATAAAGAAATCAGTGAAGCAGGAAGCGGTCCCTAATAGAAAAGTCATTTAATACCGGTGTTTAACGTGCCCATTGCCTGCAACGGACATCCTGCTAGGGAATTCCAATCCCCTGCATGAAAGAAAAAGCAACATTTTGACAATATGTTTAATTACTCAGAAACAGAAAGTTAGAGACCATGTGAAAGACCAACGTTACAAATCAGAAAAGAGAAATCTCTATTACCTACGTGCTAGAGGTGAGCAGATTTTATTCCCCAGACCACTATTTTTAGCGAGAACTTTAAGTTTCACTATATTGCAACAAAATCCAAACACTCTTGGTACAACAAAAATTAAAAGGAGTATGCCAAAGGCAATTTACAAAAGTCTAAAACCCATTTTTTAAAAGGTACTTTAATTTGTTCAATTGTACCTGTAACGACTACTGCAGTTTTAACATTAAAAAGTCAGTACTTTTTCTTCCAATGGAAATAAACTGTGGCATGTACAACTACTACAGTGTTTTAATATTTATATGTGATTTTTGTTGTTATTTTTAAGACATCAATGCTTCACTCCTATTAAGCAATAGGTCAAGTTTGGCGAATTTCCATTAAGAAAGTCACTGCATATCTTCTCCCCTCAGAAATTGGCATCTCAAATAGTAACATTAAAATTGACAATAGTTCTTCACCGTAACTATGTCCAAGCAGTCTGTTCATTTTCTGAAATGCTACATTTGAGACCAAAAGAAAAGCAAAATAACTAAAGTTTCAACAAACATGTAAGTGATGACTAGAAATATGCCACAAAATTATTTTAACAATACATTTCTGCAGAAATAATCCCTAGTTGAAGCTTTTTTTTTTTATACACATATACAAAATTTCGACAGCAATATACACATAATCACAGTGAAGACGCTGGCAAGTCCACCAATTTGTAGTGTAAATACAAAATGCAAAGCAGCCTTCAAAGAGAACAATGCTACACAGCAAGCATAGCTAGCTTGTTAAATGGCAAACACCAAAAGTTCCCTGCAAAAGGAACGCAGTGCAAGAAAAGCAGCATGCACTTTGATACAAATAGCAGTTTATGGCTAATGGTTGACATAACTGTGGTAACAGTGACTCTTGAGTGGCTGTGCATAGTTGAACTCCTACGTCATTTGTTTTCCTTTATACCATTCCACAAACTCATCCAACAATACTGGCCCTGTAGAGAGATCAGATAACTGTATTTTACAAAATTTCATAAAAGAGCACCAAATGATTAAGCTCAGAGAAATAAATTATTTTAAAACACCAACATATGGTAGTACTTACAGGCTCCATCTTCGTCATAATTACTGAGGTCAAGGTTGATTGTTCTGCTGAATTCAAGAACGTTACACCATTGGTCCTTATTGATAACTTTGTATTTTGATTGCTGCTTGAGGGAAGAAACAGAAGTTACTGAAACACACCTTCAAGTCCTTCAAATTCAGTTTTTGTGCAGGAAATTTAAGCCTTGGAATGAATTACCATTATTTGCATTTCATTTAAAATTAAACAGGATTAAAGACGACACTAAACAATCAAATTAGTATTGAATAATGTATGTTTCACCACTTTTAGTGGGCAAATATGCATCAATAAGAACAGAAGTCAAGAAGTAATCAAAGACATTTTATACTCTGTCTTGCATCAAATAAAAATCAACAGCATAAGGATTTGAGAAACAAAAAGAAAGAAATGATAACCAGTTACAAATGTAATTTTGGGAGTGTTAGTATAATTTAATTCAGAAAAAAATATCTATTCATTCTATATCTAAGTCAAATAGTGTCAGACAAGACAGACAAAGTCTGTTTCAACATCCTTACCTCTAGGAACTGATGAAATACTGGAAAAAGAGACCACGTTTTTCCTAAAAGAAGGCCCAACATACATTTGGCAGTATTTATGTCTAGGCTGCGCTGGTCCTTTTCCTGCATGAAATGGAAAAAAGTCAAAAGGGGAAAAAAAAAAACATAAACGTTTATTTACAGCAATATCTAACACTTTTTTTTTTTTTAATTAAAACCCAACATTTCTCACAGCTAATGGCTTGCTGTAGAAGATGCCTTCCATAGCAGTGACCATTATTTGAGAAAGTCTTACTGATGAGGCATGTATTCCTGTTTGTGACTTCCTAACTTTCTGGAAAACAACAGCCATACCCATGTTTGTATGCATGCATCTGCATGGCCATAAGAGTCTTAAAGTAGCATCACTGCATGTATTTCCTGAGGTTTTCTTATAACATGAACACAGCATGACACGAACTGTTGGAAGATAACTGTTGGAAGCAGCTATCAGTTAACAATGACTATGTGAAAGTGATCAGAGGAGGTTCCTTGTTCTGTTATTCTACTGGTCACATTAAATTCAGATGAAATGAATTCTCAAACAAGCACAGGTAACTGTACTGTACAGGTAACGATACTGTAACATATAGCAAATGGAGACTTCTCTCAGAACTGTCCCAGTTTTATGCCAATTTAGCAGCAGTTATATTCAGGCTTGCAGAGCCAGGAATTAATTTCTTGCTGTTTGTTCTTGCTTGTTTTTTCTTTAAAAGACAAAATAACACACATCACCATCTGTATCTAGCAGATTTGTTACACCTGATTAGTAGGAAATTTTTAATGAACTTGAAAACCTGGCTTTGGTACATCTCAAAAGTTACACACCTACAGATGTACTATTTTGGCCAATGAGCACTTCCCTGAAATAATTGCCTTTAAAACAAAAATCACACAAATTTTCCAAGTCAAAACCAAAGTTGCTCCCATTAACTTTTTCTCTATAAATTACTTGCATCATTCAGACAAAAAACATATTCATCTGCTTCATGTAATTAAATATATGCCTTCTTATTAGCATTCATTTCTATTTTTCTTGATGCCACTCTCCTATACACCTCCTTTGACATTATGCTATTAGAAGTTCAATAACTCTATTAATCTAATATAGTTTCAACAATTCTGTTGATATGATTTGCAGGTTGCAATCATATCAACTTGCAAATCTACAGTTTTGTGTTTTCTTGTTTCTTTCAAAAGATGTCAGAACATCTGACTGTGTTAGAAACCTTTCTTGAGAGCAGTTTGTCAGATCCATTTGTACCTCTTGAGAACAGTCCATCCACTGATCTCTTTAGAAGTGATTTATTTGATGGCTTGTCCCTTATTTTTAATAGGCCACCAGCTGGCACAGATTTGCTATTAGTAAAATATTTTTTTTTTTAATCAATTCAAATTATTTCACCAGTATCTTGAACATCTTTGGCAATGTTAAGTACTTCTAACCTCTGTATTTTACTTTCAGCAAAATTAGCAGAATAAGTCTTCACACAATGTACTTGGTTCTGGCTGGGAGGGAATTAATTTTCTTCACAGCAACTTGTCTGGTAATGTGTTTTATGTCTTCGACCAAAATAAAGTTGATAATACAGCAATTGTTTTAGCCATTGCTAAACTGTGTTTGCACAACATCAAGTCCTTTGCTGTTTCTCCCTCTGCCAACCCAGTGAATAGACAGAGAATAGCAAGAGCTTGGGAGGGCAGATGCAACCAGGCCGATGACCCAAACAAATCAAAGAGGTACGCCATGCCTTACAGCATCATGCTCAGCAACAAAAGGGAGAGAGCAGATTTAGGGAAGTTAGTCATCTGTCTAGTCTACCTGTGGAAGACAGTGAACAACTGTTTTTGCAACACTTGTTTTTTTTTTCCTTTTTTTTTTTTTTCCTATTTCTACTTCTCCTTCACTTAATGAACACTTACCACAGCTCAAACATTTTTCTTGCTTTTACTCTTCCCTCCGCTGATATCAGGATATTGTTTCATGTTGTTTCATTAATGTTAAGAACATAACTGACGATCCTCCAGGACTTTTTAAAACCAATGTTTATATTATAATCACCTCTTATCATGTTTATTATTTTTACCACTCACAGAAAAGGCTGAAATGCCTTCCTGTTTTAAATATTTATGCATAGAAAACTCAAATAGTAAGAAAGAAAAAGTGATTATAACACAAACATTTGTTGGAGAGAATCTTGAGTGATATCTTAAGAGAAACATATTTACTCTTAAGCATTACCTATCAAAGTAAAGTTTAATTTTATACTTTAGCATTCTCCAGTACTTACCCGTGCAAAGTCAAATGCATATCTATAAATAAGTTTAAAATTGGTAGGCTCATTTAATAAGGATCTCAAGCAATCCAGAGAATTTCTCAATTTTTCTGTAGTATCACATCTGAAAGAAAAGCAAAGAATGAATTCATAGTCTACATTCTTACACAGATGTCTGGTGTTCTTAGAAAAAGAATCTTAACATATATCCCCATCACTGCATAAAATACGAAGACATATATTTGCCTGCTTAAGATTTAACCCACAGGACAAAACATGTAGATAAACTAGCGAAGTCTTATGCTTGTACTGTGATAAAAAATTGTTTGAAGCTGTAGAAAATGCACTCCCCATGGGATTAAACCACAAATTTGTCTACAAAAGGAAACCAACCAACAAACCAGAGAAGGGAAATAATACTTCCATAGCTTCAGCAAAGCTATAGAACTTCCTAAAGTTTTGGTGATCCTATTCTGTAAAGATAAGCCAAAACATAGTTCTTTCCCCCCAACTCTATGAAATGTAGTTATTCAACTACTTCTATCTAATTATGCCATAAAGATAAGATTGCAACTGGATAATTCAACTCTTAGAACATGAAAATGCAGTCACAAAAAAACGTTTGTAATGTTTAGCATTTTAAACTGAATATGCTCTAACAACATACCAATATCTAACACTCATGCAATGACAGTAAAGCTCAGATACTGGTCCTACCCAGTGACAAAGACAGATGTCCTTGCAAATGTCCCTCATTATATTTTTGTTTTTAAAAGTATTCAACAAGCAACAGCCAGGTTTCAAGTTATCTTTGAATGAGCCATATCACCGGAAGCAGTGACAAAGAAATACTGCTTCTGCTCTAAAGTAGAGCACTCTGTTTTAAGTTATGATTAAAACATCAAAGTGCATTTTTTCTACAACAACTGTATTTACTATTAAAAAAATCTTACGAGTTTTTTCAAAACACTTACTGTAGTGATGTCATTCCTTTTAACCATTCTTGTAATGTAAAGTAGCCCATGTTTTGTGCATCCAACTTCCATGCTAATACAAGCATTACTACCTGTTTCAGAGGAAAAAATGTGAAAGCTGAAGAGAATCAACAAATATATCTGTGTATTTTTCAGTTGCTGTTTAATAGGCTACAAATACTTTAGTCAAATAAACAAAACATTCAGAACTTTCTTATTAAGCAGCTACTTTAAAAGTTAAATACAACAAACCTGCACATGATTCAAACAGTAGGATTCCAGCACAAAGATAGAAAGTCAGTTAGGTTAGGCACATTACTTCATGGGAGCATGCACGGAACGTCACAGTAGGAAGCTAGTGTGCATTGCAACCATGAGGAAGATGAGCCAGCACAGGCTACAGAGAAAGTTTCCCAAAATTATTAAATCTAAGCACTAACTTGAGACAAGTTACGTTTATTAAATTCATCTAGGTGAGCATCCATTGCAATCCAGAAGCTTTATGAAATCCAGTTGTTCTAAAGGTAATAACAATCCCACATGAATCCATCTACCACAAGGTACTGTCAACACCATCTAATTCTGTAAGTCTGAACATGAAGTATAATTCAAGTAGATGTTAAGCACACTGAATGAACTAACATTAGCACATATCAATCCACAGGCTGATTCATAATTGCTTCAATTTTGCCTCAAAGGAAACAGAATCCTTTTAATATCTCACATAGAACACAGAAGCAATAAAGAAGCAATTTGGAAAAGTGGTATTGGAAGATCACTGTCATATTCAGAATACTTAAGATATATACATGGAAAAAAATGGCAGGCAACTACCCCTGCAGACTAGAAAAAAGAAGTGTAATCAAGTAATTTCAATTTGCAACTCTGGCTAATACTAGTGCAGCTCTATATTGTTAATGCAAAGTCAGAATATCCACTTATATAACTGAAACGTCTCTATCAATCTTGAGGATTTATCACACTAATAAATTCCAAAGGTTGCAATTACATCTTATATCACCAGCAAATCAATCAAAAACATAACTATCAATTTAACCAATGAGAGATGATGATTTACAAATGTTGCAAAAGATGGGACTTGCACATATGTTTTTAAAAGCATATATTAGACACCAGAAAAAAAGCCACAAAAGGTATAGTTATTTGTTTCCTAAAATTCTCTCTCTCCTTCATGTATATATCAATATAAATGGGTTTTGTAACAGCGTAATGGGAGTGCTAATACTGCTCACAATATTCAAAACACCTTTCTCCCATAGAAAACATTAGCTGGCAGTTGTGTTAAATCTCCAGTGCAGTCTCAGAAAAGATGTCATCACCTCTTTCTAAACTTTTATTTTTTTCTTTTGGTAGGAGGAGCGAAGGAAAAAATGGGGGGAAAGATGTGGCAAAGGCAAATTGAGTTTTTAAGTCAAGTTAACAGTTCTAGTTTCAGAACAAATGCAAGTTGTTCCAAATGTGCACTTAGACCTCTCTGGTTTATATTCCTTTCTCTCCCAAAAATTCTATTTGAATTTTTTTTTATTCTTGATGAAAAACTAGGAGAAGTTAGACAGTTTCATCAACATCATAACACACTATGCATCTTCTGAATGGACCTCAAACTTACATTTTCTGGTTCAACTCCAATGTCTTCACAAAATTTCTCCATACCTTCTGGCCCTACAATGTCATCGGTGCCTGCAAAGAAAATGCACTTTACATATCTCTGAGAATGGACTGATCTTTAGAGCATAAGAGAAATTTCATCACAGTGATCACAATCTGAACATTCATAAGCTTTAGGTTGGTTTATTTGGCATGCAATAAATATTTCCCCACTTACAATCAGACGTGGATACACATGTATATTTATCTCACCTCTGGAAACAAACACAGAACAACTATTTTCAATCTTGCTAACATCTTTTATTCCACCCAGTTACCAAGAGAATCTTAGAACAGTACATGAATAAGATCTTTAACAATACAGACTAGCAGAACATCCAGGTAATATTAGCATGGTTAAATGAGTGAACAATGATTACTGAAACTCATATCTCAGCTTGAATCTCTACTGTTATCATAGCATTGTATCACGTAAGATTCTTGTATCATAGATATCTAGATACCATAGACCGTCATTCCCAGAATCTTATTCCTTAGTGTTTCATTCATACGCTAACTCTATAAAATGTTATCTACAAAAAAGACTCTGAAATAAAAATGTCATGTTCCTATTTATTTATATGGCAGTAATACTACAGCTGCACATTACGTGAATTTTAGTAACTGCAGGGGGAAATGAAAATATGAATTACACATAGCTATATCTTTGCTGACTTAAAATAAAAAAAGGTTCAAAAACAGATGTCATTAAAATACTCTATTTTCTGAATACTTTTGGGAAAATACGTTTGTAGTATCTACATTACATTGTTGAAAAAAGTTATATGCATTAATCGTACTGTGCTTTTTTTTTTTTTAATACACTACCTATTTGGACTATTTTTTAGAATTATTTCATTCACATTAAGAAAGGCTTACTTTGGGGAGAAAAGCATTAGAGGTTGACATCCATACTTCTATTCAATATAAAGAGTACAAGAAAGATGTATGAAAGGGAAAATAATTCTAAATTTTACTATTAGGTGACCTTCTATTCTAGAAATAACAAGGTTTAATTAAATATTTTCCCATCTTCCTATGACATCCTCCCATTCACACTTCTGACTGTAATCAAACACCTTCAAAATAAAATTAATTCTGTAATAAAGACACATTAGAGAAAAAAATAACAACAAATCCAGTGCTAACTGTCTGCAGATGTAAAGGAGAAGACTTTAAAGAAAGAGCACAGAAGAGATTATTACTTGAAAAAAAACACTTTCATTTCTTTACAATGTTATTCAGTACAATAAACAGGATCATACTCTCCACTTTTCTGTTATAGCTTGGCGTATGCATTCAATGGAAAAATCAAAAGATCTTTCACACACATCCTTCCTTTCATCATGTCACGGTTTTATGGTTTTTTGATTTTCAGTATTCCACATCAAAACATCATGTACTGGAATTAAAGTGTTAATGCCCTAATTCTACGTACCTATCCCTATACATTACGGAAGTCATGGGATCTGACCCTTCCGGGTGGGGCGGTCTCCAAGCTTTTCAGGTTTGACTCGGTTTCGGGAACTCTCCTCTCTCGTATCTTATTTGATTTATTAGTCTCAATTTCAATTAGATTGTATTATATTGTGTTATCTTGCATTCCGATATCATAGTTAGTAAAATAAGTTTACCTCCATAGATTGTTGCCGCTGTTTTTTTTTTTCCCCCCTTCCTTCCTTCCCATTTTGTGGGGCCAGGTGGGGGGTGGGGAGGGCAGGGGCCTACTGCCCCCTGTCGCGGGCATAAATTGATCTAGTTAACTCCGTGACACTTCCCTTCTCTCCAAAGTTGTGATAAATATGAGTTATCCCTGTTGCTAGAGTAAAAAAATAAATAAATCAAGCTGATCAGAAAGGCGCAGAATCTAACAGGTAAGGTTCGGCTTCAATTTGCCTGAATCTCCTTTCAGAGACTGCCACAGACATGTGAGATCTCAAACTACTTAATTTTATTAAAAGAAAAAAAATAATTTATTACATCAAATTAAGTCATTCTTCATGACACATAAGGAAAGACAAAACAGAACAAACTGTGAGCAATGTTATCCGAAACAACAGCGGAAAACTGTAAGATAACCTTGTTTCCTTTGTCAAACACCTATTTCATTTCCTTCTGGTCTTCTCTACAGTCATGAGTTTTTTTTTCCCATATTTGAAGTTCTCCCTTTCAGAAAAGCACGTGTAAAAACAATGAAAACAAATCATGATCGATGACTTTACTCACTGTTAATGGATGAGCTGTTGTGACCATTGATCATAATCAATAAGCTTACAACATCTGAAGGAAGTTCTCATACATTAAAGCAATAAGTAATTTGGTTGACCCTCTTTGTACCTTCTAATAGAAAACTATTCAAAGACAGTTACAGGACACTTGTGTTTATTTGTTTCTGTGCTAGAAACCAGAACAACTAGATTTAGCAGCAACAGTTAATTTTACTACCTCTGCTACCTTTTTATTTGGTTTAGTTATTTCTACATTACAAACGTACCTTCCCTGGGAAAGGTTTTGCACTACTCAATGTTAACATGGCAGACGGAGTAATTTATAGAGCCATAGAGGCAACATTTTGTACAGAAGTACAATTTTAAATATAAATTAAAATAGTCAAGTATGCTCATTCATTGAGCTCACTTAATGCAGTTTTTATAGGTTAAATTGTTATTGAGAGGAAACTTGCATTTCACACTTACCTGCATATTCATAGAACCATTCTAAGCATCTTTTACTCGAAAAGACTTCCTCTTCTGCTTTTATTCTAGTTGAATCATATTTTCTATACATTCTTAAAAAAAAAAAAAACAAATAATTAGTACTGCAATGTTAAAAAAGCAACAATTTAGTCAACAGCCACTGTAAGCAGCAATACATTTATTTTACTAATGAATTTACTCAACATTCTGACCATGTATTGGGTCATTTAGTGAGCTGCTTAGCAGTATAAGAATCACTGAATCTACTGTGTTTGCTCAGTCTGCCACAGTTCAACTGATCCATACCATATCCATGTGCATGAACCATCCTAACAACAAAAATAGCCTGGTCCAGATTCAACCTCAAATATCATATGCAAATCCAAGTAAGACTTGTGCATGTTATTAGCTATCATATTCAACTGACAGGCTGCAATTTGGTTGTGGGTCTAAACCCACAGTAACTCCATGTTATTGTCCACTGTAGTCCTACCAGACCTGTAGGTGTACACAGACTTCATGTATTATTCATTAACTATGGAGAACTGAATACACTTTCTGCCTCTTCAAAAATTCTAGAAAAGGCATAAAGAGCAAAACAGGCATGACCCATAGTAATATTATTCTAAGGGCAGTAAGTCGGTAACAAGATAAAACAAAAAAATCAAACAAAGAACAGAGAGAGGAGGTTACAGGTCCTCGCTGACAATAATTCAAAGAACCTCATTCATCATAGGTTGTATCACCAGTTATCTGAAAAATTAGATCAGTAGTGCTCCCTTCCTCACAGAGATGACCGACAAGGTAATGTACTCCTCAGACAAACCTAAAGAATTTTAACTGCTTTCAAAAAATAACACTGAAATACCAGCTTCCTGAATTGAGTATCTGAATCATATAAAACATACACAATGTGTGGCAGAAATTACTCCATCCTCTTTAAACTTTTCTGGATCAGAAAACACCACTTGTAGCCGATTGTTAAAGAGATGAGACTCAGTGCAAGTAGTTGTTCAATGCTGCACAGTCTGATCCATTTCCATCACTCCACAATAGCTTAGGCAAAAAGATGGAAAAGAGCTGAGGAGCAAAGATGAAAGAAGCAAGCCATGAACAGTAAATCCTCCAAACGTGCAGCCTTTCCTCTCAAAGTATCAAGCCTTGCAGGAGGCAGACAACCAAGCTGCTAACTGGTTTCATGATCATTCTGAAACAACTTCATGAAATTACATGGAGTTGATTTCATCACCATTTTGTCCTTCTAGCCAGACATGTAAAAGATCTCTCTACTTATAAGATTGAAGTACAATCATTTTCTGCTACCAGTATTTTCCACCTAGTTGTTTGTAGCTATCCAGTAAAAGGTACACATTGCACTGACAGTAGCACAAAGAACTATTTTATGTTTATTGTCATCATTTTTTTTAAAGCAACTAATCATTAGAAAAGTAATAATGGTCACAGGAAAATTATAACCTACTAATTAGAAGAAAAATATAAATGAAGATCCTTAGAAATTTCAAGATTGAAAGAAAAATCTACATTGCACTGAAACATGCTGACCTTCAAGAAACAGAAACTCAGCAGACAAATGAGCCATACATCTCAAAAACATATATTGATATACTCAAGACTCAATTTACTCTTTATTTAATTTTGAAAACACTTTTTCCTGTTTGAATTACCTAATATGCATGACCTTTATTGCAGTTGCAAAGGAACGGGATGACTTTGCTGCCCAAAAAGGAATCAACCAAGCCAGAAGGTATTAAGTTAGATAAAGACAAAGCTGGAGCCATCTCCTACCTTGAACTCTCCCCACCTACTTCTTTTTTTTTTTTTTTTGGAAGCAGTCTGAAAAAAAGCATTCTTATAGTTGCAGAATTAACTATGATTAGGAATGTCTCATTCAACACGTTTCAGGATATTCTGAATTCAGAGGAAGCAGAAAAAGAAAGTATAGAGATGAAGGAAGGCATTCTGCTACACTGACAGAAGTTTAATTATTCAATATCCCCTTATTTTTGATGTAAATATGACAAAACTCCAATTGGAATATAAACCTGAAAATTGACAGTAGCAGGAGTTTAAACATGGAAAGCTAGTGTAGCTCCCTAAGATAGAATGACACTCACTGCAAGACTGGGGCTGATAAGAAAGTGCTTCCCCTGATTCCTCATTTAACTTGTCTACACAGTGGCTGTCAGTAAGTGAAGAATGGGTCTGGGAAGGACCCCTCAAGAAACATATACATTGACAGAGCTCTTGATCATCTGAGTATTACAGAAAAAGGATTCCTGCATTTTCAATTGGCAGAATTAAATATTGTAGCCTGAACCAAGACACCAGCGATGACAGGAAGAATAAGAGGAACAGAAAATCAGAACATAACAAAATACCTCTTTTTATACACTGTATCTACATTTAGCAAGTTTTCATAGAACCGACATGGATTTGCTGTGTTTAAAGCTAAAGTCACTGTTAAGGAATTGGAGGAAACAATGACAATTCTAAGTTCACATGTCCAACACGTGGCCAGGTAACTCAGTATCTGGCCAGTGGAGTCTGACTTCTCAGAAACCAGAACCGATCACAGATCTCTCAAGCTATGATGCTAATAAACTACTTCATAAAATTCAAACATTAGGAAGGACATCATCTTGGGCTACCCTCATCTCTGCTGTAAACTACAACCATGCAACAAAGGTGGCTGGATGAATTCCACATGTCATTTGCTCAGCTTAAAGGAAGTAACAACAGAGCACAAACCAGCTATTTCTATTAGAGATTCCTAATCCCTAGCGTACATTGGGAAGTGAGATGAGAGCAAGTTACCAACAAGTAACTGGGTAAGTATCTGATATCAGAGCCCAGGACAGCTCTGCTCAATGTCACTGCAAGCTCAACCTAGTAGCACTGGGTAAGGGTGGTTCCAGAGACTGTTCTCTGAACTATCATCAATACAGATTTGATTGCTTTAAGAATCACGTGCAAAGAGGAAAATCACAAACCACCAGAAAAGTCTGGCACTGATTTTGGATCACAGAATATTTATTCTGTCTTCAGAATTTCTCTGCACACACTATAAGACAATGTGTTTTCTGCTAAGGATGGTGCCCGTTGCTACACAAATGAATACAAACTGCCAGAGTGCACAGGTTAGATACCTGAGAACTCTCTGAGAACCAAACATCTACCACATGGATCTTCGGTTTACTCAAGTCCTCAATGGCTTACAGCTTTCTCACAATGCCAAACATCAGTACCTTAGAACAGAACTACACCAACTACATCATAGATTAGCAATTTGCTTATGCATTGATGGTCCATAAGAGAAACCTATACAATTTCAGGCACACATCAGAAGCAAAAGAATACACACATTCACTCAAACTTCCAATTTTAGCAATTGCTTCATATGTAACATAGTAAACCATGTTTAAAAAAAAAGTTTTATTATTAACAAAGCATGACAAAGACTGTCTAGAGCAACACCCAGGATAAATTCACTTGAGAGGTAATTCTTTCCTATCAATGTGCCATATTCCTCCCTAAATAAAGGCTCACAGTTATTTCTTAAAACTTAAACTAACATTTTAAATTTAACAAAATTCACTTAAGGGATTGTACAACAGCATACATCCTGACAGTCACATCTAGTTTCTGCACAACTATTAAGTCCAGCTCAATGAAAAGGTACAGAAACAGGGAAAATTAGACCTGTGCCTATTTGAAAAGCTCTACTTCAAGGAATAAGGCCTAGACACCTATGACAATTGGCAACACAGGCTGCCTGCCTGCAGTAGAATCAAACCAGTTGCTAAATAACAGTAGAATAAAGAAGCCTACCAATACTATTAATTTTGAAAACTTCCAGGGTTATCCCTCCTGTCTTACTTTCCCACATTAGTAGTACAGCACTGACTGTGTTTTAAAAATATAAGTTTTTTCACTACAGAGTATAGAGCTTGCAACTCAAGTAATGAATCTGCTTTTCATATCATCATTTCCTTATGTGGTCCACACATACAACCATGTATTAGATCTACTGATCTAATACACCTTTCAGGGAAGCAGATATATTTCCCCAGTTTTCAACATTCTAAGGTCCAAATATACATTACAGTTTTTTCCCCTCCGTGTGATTCTGGAAAAAAGAGTAGAAATATTTTTAAATGAGACTATCAGAAAGAAGACATTATGTTTCATATCTGTTTTTTTTCCTAAGGAGCAGACAGTCTTTGCTCAGAACTGCGTAACAGATGCGCAGATAGACAGTAGGGACTATACTCTTACCTAGCAACCATCTTTACATGAAACTTGTTTAACCCTCTGTAAGACCCTTAACATTATGATGAAAGAGCAGCATGCAGAACACATATTTTTAAATCCAAATTGAGAATACTCTGCAGTGTGAGAATTCAAAGTACAATACGGTCAAGACTGCCAAACAGAGAAAGAAATAAAATGCCTTCAAGTCATTATGTTCTGATAGGTGTGCACTGAAAGATCTACTTTCCAATACCATTCTCTAAAATGGGATAAATCTTACTGCAATCCAGAGATGAACACACTGAATTATTTTCACTGTTCATCTTCCAACAAAAAAAAAGAAAAAAATTCCTCCCACTAAAACATCACATTCATGTTTCAAGGTGAAATTATGAATAATAACTAACAGAATTCAAGCTCTTATTGTGTAAGGATGGGATGCTGAAGAAAGAATCTTTGTTTTCCATAGTTAGTCTACACATGAAATCCAAATAACCGCAATATCTAGATTTGTTCCTATAAATGCTTTTCTTCAAAAGGCATCATCATCATTCCACTAATTATTTCAAAATGAGGGTGTATCCCTAAGAGCCTGAAACCAAAGGTGAAAGCTATTACGAGTTCCTTGGTACCATATTTGTTTAGAGTTTATGAAGATAAGAGCCTTTCAAAATCTTTTTTTCAGTACAGAGCCCTGCTGCAATAAGCTTTCTGCAAAGAATATGCATCTCGAAAGTATTCCTATTAGTACTCCTATAACCAAAGGAAATATAGAAACACAAAAAGTGAAGACTGAAAAGATCATCCAACTAAACTATTTATGTAAGAATTATATATATATATGCGTGTGCGTGTGTAGAAAAATCAGGGGAAGTTATCACAATTTGGTTTTTGCTTTGCTGACCCCCTTAACAATGACAATCTATTGGTAATCTTTAGAGTACCATCCAACATTTTCACACTGAAAGCAAATGGGAGATGAGCAATTACTGAATTTGTTAACATTCCTCTACAACATACAAAACTTAGATAATTCCAAAAACATTTCAAGTGACAAATCCTCTCTCTGATAGGAAATATCATCTCTCCTGTAGATAACACATTGTTTTTCATGAAACGTAAACATTCAGGAAGACTCTGACTACCTTTTTCCACTTAACAATACAGATTCCACATAGCCTAACGTCCCCTGAAAGCTTATCCTGAGTTACCAGTATGAAGTTTCAAGCAAGTCTGCATCTAAAATGAGAGCAATGGTAAAGAAGCGGACCTAGAAGCCGCTTAATATATATACTGCATTAAACTACCTGCACCATTTTTATTGTATAAACCATTCACAGTGTCAGAAACAATAGCTTAGAGATAACTAGGCTCACAAGAGCACACTGCCGCAGAGATTCCTAATTTCACATTGGTTTCTGTCTAACACACTGATATGTTCAAACTTGGGGGAAAAAAAAGAAGAAAAAGCAGGAGTTCTATCCAAAAAGCAGAGAAGAGAGGATTTGCTCAAAAAACATTAAGCCAGATTTGAAGAAATACTCAAAAGAAAATACAGCTCTAAAATAGAGCTGAATATTCAGCAAATGAATTCATGTTGCCAGGTCTGGTGAAATACAAGCTATTTTCTTGAAGATCAAAGCAAAAGAAAGGAAACAAAGGGAAGCTGAGGAAGCCCAAAAACCTTAGAAGTTAAGAAGGAAAACAAAAATTGGAACCACATCAGAGAAGGATATTCCCCTCTGGCCCACAGCTGACAGATCTGGTTTTACCTCCACTTCTAAAAGCAGGCAGAGGTTTTCCCCTGAAGTAAACTTTAGATGGCAGTAGAATGAAGACTAGATCCATTAGGTACAAACTGAAAGGCAGATAGATAAAGCATTCGAATTATGCTTTCAAAAAGCTCTTAGTGATTACATGAACTACTAACAGAGTAAGAAATCAGCTTTTCATCATTTTCTTATATGAATTACACAAATCAGTATCTTCTACTACAGACAATCTTCCTAGGGGTTTTAGCTTGTTTCATTTTGCTGTCAGGGTCTTGCCAAATGGAGGTTATTTAAATTTTGTAAACATCTCTACTTAGATTCTAGAAACATTTAATCCTATTTTTACTTCTAATATTTCTCAAAAACCAGCAAAAAATATTAAGAACATGTAGTGTTTTTTTGCTCTTGCTAGTTTTACATACTCAAAGCAATGAAAGGGAGTTTAAATCTTTCTTCTGCCTCAGCAGATCACTTAATAAATTCCAGGGCAGCTACAGTTGTGCAACCCAATTGAGCACAATGGAGTTACAGAGGCATAACTAGAGTCTTAATTTGGCTGCTAGCATTTTTATTACTCATGCTAGTGAATAAAAAGGAAAGTATGTAGCCTCATTTCAGGCTGACAGGGGAAACACATCTTTTCACCTTTCTGAAGGTGCATGTCACAGAAGCTTGAGCTTTCTGAGTCACCTGTAATACATGAATGTAATAAAGTTCATGTTCTATTGGCAGATGCAGCCAAATATTCTGGTAGTACACAACACTTTCCAACACCAAGATACTGTGTAAGTACGCTATAGCCCTCTGCCTATCATGTGATGGCACCTACCGTGCAGGAGTGCACAGTCTCCCACAAGTTATGATCTTATCTCACATAAATAATGACCATCTTGCACAAAAGGAGCACACTCAGAGGATGCTGAAAGACTGAGGCTGACTGAACATTTACAGAAAATCTAGCATTTCCAGAACAGTCAGCTATGCAGCACCTGTGCCAAAAGAGCACAATGATCTTCCACACTGTTGTAACCCGCTTGCACTTCCATTGCTCAAAGGGAATTAAGCAGCACTGCCTTCATCAGTGCTCCACCATTAACTATAACCTTGCCCAAGCAATATTCAACCTTCTCTTGCATGATCAGCATAAAACCACCAACACAAAAGGGAAAGATTAGCAGAATTTCAGGTAAGACTGTGGCTGCAAATAGCCTACAACTACATTCACTTTTTTTTTTTTTTTACGTATGAAGACATTACTGTATTTCTTACAGGCTTTTGAACAAGCAAGTACATCTATTTTGACAACTGGCAAACAAGAACAGAAGTTCCCTACAAGCCTATTATATGGCTAGAAAAAGGTGAGAAGCAAACTGAAACTAGATGTTCACATCAATCACAGGTAATGGTTCCACATCAAGAAACCAATCAAATTTGAATATCATTTCGATTAGTATTTAAAAACATGATCAAAATCATCTATTCATCTTTAGATATTCCAGTCTTAGCCCATGGTAAGATGACATACCCATCATGTCTACTTTTCTTAGCAGATAAATCATCTCCTGCTGCAGGTCTCCTCTTTTTCCTTGGAGGCATCACTTTACTAAAGCAGTCTGATGAACTGCAAGACCGGAGACTTCCTACAGAGGGAATTAAAAACACCAGTACAAGAGATGAAACTATTGCAGACCAGTCAAACTGTGTCCACTAATAGGCATATTACAAAGAAAAGGGAAGGGAGGAAGTTAGTGGATTTATAAATTAGAAAAGGCCCCCTTTCCAGAGCAAAATCTGTTTTCCATGGTATTTCTCTGACCGATTTCAGTTAGTCAGTATTACTCTGCCAAAACATACAATTACACCAGTGCCACTTCAGCCTAACAAAAGGCATGAACTAAGTCTATCCTGAGGTATCTAAGTTTTCAGTCTGACTTTTTTAGTAATTAATTCACATCAGAACTTCTGAGAGTTGTCCATTACTTTTTGAAATACAGATGCAACCCAAAGATTAGAGCAGCACAGCTCTAGAAAACGGAACCTTTTTATTTTTAATCCACACTTTTTTTGTGATACTGACAGCAAGGAAAGGAAGGTGGTTTTTTTTTTTCCATTTATCTTTGATTTGTTGCAGGAGATGGGGAAAGGGGATTCTTTTCAGGAGGTTTTTTTTTTTCTTTTTTTTTGAGGTGGTTGTTTGTTTGGGTGGCTGCTTT